TAAAATCTACGTTAAAATCCGTTAATGGAGAAAATAAACGTTGTCGAACGTGGTGAAAGATGTCGTAATATTATGGTGGTTCAACTGGTATCAACTTGTATGCTAATGAATGTGCGTGGCAGTGAAGGCTGGTTTGCAAATGGCGGCCGTCTACCCTATGGAAACCGCCAGCCATTTCTACGCTACACGATTTCTTCGTCTCGGCTCTTCCTTCCAGTACGAAACCCGAGGTTCTACCGATTTTTCGTCTAACGTTGGCAAATTATTCTCCCGTTAAAGGAAACGAACGAGTCGCGTGAAAACCAGGCGTACGATTTATCGCGCGTTTCGTTTACCAATTCCGTTCGCTGGCGAATCTCGCGGCGTTGCGTTGCTCGAACAGGACATGTTCGCGATAAAAACGCTACCATTTCGCTATTGCAACGTGGCGTTTTACGTGCAGAGAATCGACGAAACGATTGAACTATTTCGCGTGGCGATTTTAAATTAGATCGCACACGGGATACTTTCGATAATTAGCTCGAAATTTTATTTCTTCGATGCAGTTTCGCACAGCAAATTGCAGATTCGACGAGTTCCTATTTGCTTACGTATTTCGGTTATTAAAATTTTCTAAGATTCGTTGAAATTCAAAATAGTCGGTAAGAAACGCCGAATTTTCTTTGCTGGGAAGCATCGTTCGTTAAGGCGAACACGCATTGCCATCGTTAAAAAGGAAGGTGGACTTGTGAATTTTCTTCCGTCATTTTCTTCCAACGTGGTACGCAACGCGGGAACGGGGATTTTTTTTTTTTTTTTTTTTGGAAATGCAGGCAGAGATTTGGGAAAGAAAGGAAGGAACAGATGGAAACTACGAAGAAGGAAATAACATCTGGGAATAGGAAAAAATATTCTTTGGAAAGGGCTGACACTGCAACACTGATCAATAGGTGGAATACTCGTCTTTGAGCGTATTCAAGGACTTAAAACTCAGGTAGAGAAAAGTATTAAGGAACTAATTTCAACCTTCCTAGAAATCGGCCCGGACCTTTCGAAACACGATCAAACGGACGCAGATGTGGCCCTAACAATGCGGACAAGATATACCTGAACCTTTTGTTCGAGATTTCCCGAACAGAAATTTTGACGTAGACAAATGAAAACCTTTGAGAAATCGATGGATGGCTGACCCAAACGCGATCCTATCGCCAGGGTTCCTGTATTTGTCCATTGTAAACACTCGAAAAGAAGGGAAAAACTTTTATGATCCCTGGCAAACGTCGTTTGTAAATATTCCTTTGCAACTTTCTTGAAAATTACTTTACGGTAAATTATTGCGATTTGTTTTTATGGCAATTTTCTCTGCAAGTACGTCCTTCGAAATTGTATAGTTTTATTCGATAATTGTCAGATTAATCGTTAAACGAAATAGAAATTAAAAACGCGTTTAGATAAACTTCCCTTTACGACGTATCGTTCGATCCGTTCGAGTTTTCCGCTCAAACTTCGCATATATAGACACCTACGTTACCGATGTGGAAAAAGCTTGATGCGCGTTTCCACCAAAAGATAGAGCCACGTACAACGCTCACGCGCGTTTCGTGGGGACACGCAATATCGTTTATCAAAGTGTCGAACGTTTCCTCTTACACGCTTCGATCTATTCGTCGACTCGTCGATAGATCGTATTCCCCTGTCGTTGTTAAGCATCGATTCTCGTTATATTTGTATATCGTACATTAAACTATATTAATATCAAAATTGCCAACTCCGTGTAATAAGTTATTCCATGAATTCGTTGCTCGTCGCTACTCTCTACAAATTCTATCTATCTACGTCTAATTATATCCGAATTAGAATCACCGCTTAATTATTTAGAACATTTGGCAAAATCCGCGGCGATCGTCCACAGATTTCGTACGATTTCGTTTGAAGATGAATCGATCGTGTCGAAGAGCAACGTTGTCTAGTAGGTTACAATTAAGCTACGAACGTCGGTATAACGTGTTTATGGCGTGTAGCATGTCACGGCAATGCTGCCAACGTTAAAACACACGATCGAAGATCCTAAAGAGAATTTTACTAAAATCCGATCACAGACCATCGAAGATTGGCTAAACGAGCGAAAGATGTTTAGAACGAATACAAAACGAACATTTACTTTTCTTTCGGGAAATTATTCCATCTTGAAGATTCTCGTAGAATTAAAAAGTATCTCGAAGGGTGGTACAAACCTATTACGGAAAAAGTACGAACAGCCAAAGACAAAACGATTTTACCGCAATTATATTCCTAACGACACACCGATGACGACGATGATCGCCGTTGTAGGTACGAGGTCGAGAAATGGCAGAAGCACGAAGTAGCACGAAACTCAGCCACCTCTCGCTCTGTGTGTGGAAAGTTTCAAGCACAAATCGAATGCTGGAATTCCACGTGTCTTCGAGAATATGCCGGTGTATTAACGTGTCCTGCATCGCTACAGCGAAATTCGAGTTTGGCGTCTTCCACGCAAATTCTGTTCCACGCAATATGTAAATCGTCTCCGTAACTTCGTAACTATCACCGAATATCCAACAAGCCAAATATTACTTTGCTACACCTAACCTCTACGTTTCCATTATCGATAATATCGCATCGTTACCGAATCGCGAAATAAACATTTTTTTCGCAAAATACAATTTTCTACTTTGATCCCTACGTATAATCGATGATGCTACCTTCCTAAAATATTTTCAATTCTGCCGATTTAGTTTTAGTCGTGAAAGCGGACGGGGGCCATTGCTCGAACTATCTCGACTCCCTTCGTGGGTCATATTTTCATACTGTTTGCATTGACCTCGAAAAAAAGAATTAGTCGCAACACGGTCATATGTACTTTTATTCCGGATTATTTACGATGCCAGAAGAAAATCTCTGGGTTTCGATATGTAATTGATCATAACAGTGTCTCGTCGTTTCGCGTAAAATATTTTTGCCGGTGGCCACTCTCTATTTTTACGCCACCGTACGTTGGCATTACCGTGACACGTAAACGCCTGTATCTACTACGAGTGCCCACGTGGACATTTTTTTCGGCCGACCTTTATCGTGCGCCTCTTTCCAGTGAATCACTATTATAACATTGCGTTTCGTTTCGGCCATCGTATCTTCGAGCTCGCGTCCACGATTCATTTATTAGGGATTATCGAGTCTCGAATTTCCGCTAGATCACCGATTTAATTAAAGTTCGATAAAAATCTGATTCTTCGCCTAACATAATCTTCCCGTTGTAACGTCACGCGTGTTTGGCGTAATTTTTTAATCGATTTTTCATCGCGCGATCGAATACTTTTCCGCGAAATACGCAAACCGAGAATTCTCGAATCGTCGTCGAGATGCGTTTTAAACGGTGCAAGACGTTTCGTCTCTGTGGCGAATATTTCGGAACTGCGACAAAACGGAATTGCTATTACCGTGCGATAAACGTTGTAGCATATCGTCATTGGTGTAACGCGGACAAGCGAGTGAATTAATTACCACGGCTGAGACGTTTCTCGGCCAAGTTAAACAAGCGTTAACGTAGAATTTTCATTTCCCGCCTTGTTGACGCCGAAACCAGCCGAATTTCAGGGACGATCGCGAAGCTGCGCCACGTGCGATATCAAGGCCACGACCAACTTACCAAAAGGAAAAAACAAAAGTACCACGGTTACACAACGTGTAACCAGGAAGTTAAATAAGTAATAAAGAAAAGCGTATTCTGTTCTGTTAAGGACAAAGAATCGAGCATATTCACGGCCTATTAACATGCGTTTCGGCTACTTGAAAAGTTATTACTCGGCCCGCTGGTATCGTTCCACATAAAGTTCTAGAAAAACAACTGGCTGGACAGAATGGTTAGCTTCTAACGACACGTACCACCACCAATGCCGAGAGATTTCACGAAATGAATCAGCTATTACGAAAGCTTCGACTTTGATAAAACTAACACGGCGAGCGAGCGCCGAATTTCCGTTTTAAAATCCTCGCTTCCAAGAACCTAACAGAAATCTACATTTTCTTTTTATTCATGGCCAATGGACTTGCCAAACGAATTCATGTAATTTTATACTTGTCACGCGCGAAATAAAGTATATACCGGAAGTCAATGTTCGATGTTTAGTTAGTCAGTGGGATTACGATACGGTGAACCAATGGCTCGGATGGATCACGAAGCAAATATCTGCGACGAATTACATGGTTATCTACGGGACGATCAGACTAGAAGAGTAACGTAAATTAGACGATCGAACAAACTTAAAGAAAAAAATGCCCGTTACGTAATTTAATTACCAAAGCATTAAACGTGATTTTCAAATCTTATGTAACAACGACACGCAGTGGAATAAATGAAAAATTTCTCGCGTCAGACACGATAAATTTCGTGGAACACAGTATCCATGTAATACCGTTAATATTTCATCGTCTTTGAAAAGTTACTTTTGTCGCGTGCTTGTGTGCCTGCGTATGTATATATCGAGTGTTTGTGGATGATCTGTTGATACAGAGAACCGTTAGGTGAGCCCTAATATCGTTTCATGTTTGTTATTATCAACCTATTCCCAAAAGCAAGCTTGTAACATCATCAGCGTACCCGTAAATTTTCCCATACAGCGAACGAAAATCTTTTCCAACGATGCACGGCTGTTTCGTGTTATTGCAGCAGTTCCAACGATACGTACGTGCGTTTGTAAGTAATCTACGCTAAAGAAAGATCGTTGTTGATCGAATAGGTATATATCATGTGTATATGGAGAAAGACGTTAAAACATATCGAAGGAATAACGTTGTTAAACGTATAGCGTATAGTAAAGCGTAACGTATAGGGAAAAACGAAAGGTAAAAATAAATGGAAAAAATTGGCGAATCGCAGGGAGAAGAAAAGGCGCGAAATGGTTGGATACGCGGTGTGATCGGCGAATGGTATCGGTGAATTTCTAACCTCACCGGAAACACGATACAAGCATCGGAGATTCGTAAATAGAGGATGACTAATTTACCTCGTGGCATCGCCGTTTTTCTCCTCCATTTCTAAACGCTCCATTTCCTTCTGCAACACGCCACCGTCTGCAAACTTATCCAGGGACATGATTTTTTGTTGTTGTTAATGTTCGTTGCCAATTTCACACAAAAACCGACGAATTATTTACAACAATACCGGAAGTTGTATTTAGCACTGTTCAATATAATATATATTATATTATATTATATATTATGTATATATATATAAATTTATCTTTTCTTCTAAATATCTTTTATAATGCAGCTTTTCGCCGTTAGCTACCGCTAATCGACTGAGGTAGACAAACACTGGCACTAAACACTGGCTGATTTCTCGTTCGCGCGACAGAACGAGCACGAATGAAAGAGAGAAGAGCAAGAAAAAGGATGAAAATAGGACGCACGACGACGTATACACGACCAAGACACCGCGTATAAACTCTTTCTCTCGGTTCCTCCGTACAGTAGCGTCCTCTCTCGCCTCCTTAATTTCGTACTCCTCCACGCGTGTTCCTTCTCCCTCTTTTTTCTGATTCTCCGGCACACGCTTCGTCTCTTTCGTTGAACACACGATATCGGTCTTTCTTCCTTCACCCTTTTCACAATGATGACACACGACGACCACGCGTGGCACACGGTAATCGGTAGCGATTATTAAAGGCCTCGCGAGACAGCGTGGCAAACAAAAAGAAAAAACGAAATAACGAGTTAAGGACGATCCACGCGGCACACTGTTCCCAGTAACTTCCTCCCAAATGATAGAAAGATAGCGTCTCGTCGTTCGTCTCTTGTTCTCTCAACGACTGCCGAAAAGAAACTCTTGCGGGTGGAGTAGTTTCCGTACTTTCCTCCTTGCCTCCTTGCTCCGGCGGCTTTCTACTACCGTACCCCTTCCCCTCGATTCCCTTACCACCGCTTTCTCCTTCTTCCTTGCGCACGCTGCCGCCTCTCCTTCTCTCTTTCTAACTAACGGAGAAATCCCTCCACGTATCGAAGACGCGCGAGCACTTTTACCAACTAAACTGAACAGACAGTCTAGTGCTCGTACGTGATTGGTTGATCAGTACGATCTCGGGACTGTGCGTTATCCGGTTCCCGCTACTGCTCTCTCGAAGAAGAAGAAGAACAAGAAGAATGATGGACACCGTTTTACGCGATGACACAACGGGTTAGTAACGCCGGTAGAAAAAAAAAGATACGTCCTCCTCTCGCAATTACGTTGGTCCTCTCTTTGTACGTAACACTTATATACATGTACATATACGTCGAAAACGCACGTGGATCAATCGGTCGTGTTACAAAGGTGGTGTACCGATGCGCCGTTTTACTCTACCGAATACGAAGTGACACGACACCCGGCCCCGTGCGACTGCGTTTTAGTATATTCGTAAATGACACTGGCCTTAACTCAGTGCACGTATACGTGGGTGCGTCGTCCTTTCTCTGTTCTCCGCTGATTCTTTCTTTCTCTCTCTCTCTCTCTTTCTCTTACTCTATCTTTCCCTCCCTTTCGTTCTCTATTACCCCTTTCTCCGTTTTTGCCGAGCGTTTCGATCAGCGCTGCTTGCGATCACGACGAATACGCGACGATCAATGGGGTATAAATGCGCGTCGAGACAGGCAGATTCTCGTCCGAGTTTTACGCACACCTATCCGGAAGCGCGAACGCACACGGGTGTCGAATCGGAAGAAAAACACACACACGACTAACAGCAGCGTGCTACGCTGACGGCGGTTATATTGGCAGGGATATCTAGCGAGAAAGCGCGCTGGTACACTGATATTATTTTTATAACAACGCGGTGCGCGGCCGTCCTAGGCCGCGCCCAATATACCCCCACCCTTTACCGGCTTTCCTCCCCTCCACTAACTGTTCCTCCCTCTCCCGATCAAGGGGAAGCCTTACTGTTCGTCCCCACCAAAGACATAGACCATCGTACCGGCGTGTGAGACTCGACAGAGAAGGGTGAATAGGAAAACGTTCTCCTCGACTATCCTGCGTGGGTATATCAAAGCTGGAACATTTTCTTCGCACGAATGCCATCTTGCTCCTCATCGTTTTTCCATCGTCGCGTTCAACGTACCTTTCTCTTCGCTTTCGACAAAAAACGATACTCGCGATAGAGATTTCATTCAACTATCTATTAAACACGTACGTTTCTCGTATTCTGGCGTACCACGTTGCTCGTGTACAGAGTCGCCATCTGATGGATGCCGGTAAACACTAAAAGTTGTTTTTCCATTTCTCGCTCCATTCTCCTGCTACGTAATTTATGGCACTTCTGCGAAGTGTGCTGCGAACGTGAACGATGTAAAGGTGTCGGATGATAGATAGAAATCGAGTCATCGCGTATACCGAGTTTCCACGATTTTCCTCCGATTTTGGATTATCCATACTTCTAAATACATACTCTACGGTCTATCGTATCGTGCAAATACAATTTTTCCTGTTTCATGGAAAACCTGAACGATCGTAACGTAGACAGTTGGTAACATAGAAACATAAATTTAATAATAAATTATCGTGCTAGATTTCGAAAAATTTTCATTTGAAATATATCGTTTCGTACCATCGGCTTGCCAGATAAATAAGAAACGTAACGCTTCACCCTTTGCCTCTACAAAGTCAAGAGTGCTTCTCTGATCAACTTGTGAGTCGAAAAGGGGGAGATTACAAGTGCCCAACCACCGCCAAGTTCTAAAAGACACCGCTCTGTACGTTATTTCACGTGCATTTCACTCACGATTCATTAACCTTCGATTCGGCAAAGTACAGTCGTCGAGCCTTCGACTCTATGCATAGAGTTTTACCGAACGTTGGAAGTACGGATTCCTGGTTCTCCGTAGAACTACAGGATTGATTCCGTTACGGAGGTCTCGCTTTGTTCGGCCAGGTAGGAAGGAAGGATTCGCCTTTCTTTTGTGCATGCCTGCAGGTATATGGGTGCAGGTCGACCACGGATATTCCTGGCTTTTCTGCGCTCACGTTTCATCCTCATTATCTTTGGCAATGACGAGGGTGTTATCCTTGAACTAGATTTATCATTCACAGAACTCTGTGGCCGGATGGCACTTGAATTTCGGATGCGTTCAAACACCTACCGTAATTGAGTTTCGTTATGCTCTGTCAGAATCGAAAGCAATCCTCGTACGTCCCTCGTACGTTATAAAATACGATTTGTAAAAAAAAAAAATGTCCGTTTAGAACCACTCGGTTCCTTCTACATCAAGATCACGTCAAACTAAATGTCAATCTATGGTCTTTCGTTTCGTACATTCCTGGCAACGATAAAAGGAAGCTTAAATTCGGTCATTCCGCGGCCAATGCCGTGTAGAATATCGGGACGAGTTCTACTGGCATTTGATCTGAATAGCACACCTGTACAACTTGCGTCATGTTCTTCCGGAAGAAAACAAACGATGATTACGAATCACCGAATTACGCCAAGGGGGTTCGTAGAAAGAGAGAAAAGAAAAAAAAAAGAAAAAAGAGAAGGGAACACCGCGAGGGGAGTGGTCACATAACCGAAGAAACGTTGATCCATTATAAACAAGTGGACAGCCAGTTAGAACACCGGGTCGAACTTGAATTTTGAGCGTGCTATGTGGTCGCGTGGTTTCACTATGAATTTTTATTACAGAGGGTAACTTAACGAGCGATAGAAATATCGTTCTTTTCGACGCAACAAATAAAAATCCAATCGTTCGTGTATGCTTAGACGAAACGACTTTTCCGATGTTCGCCGTCGAATAAAGTTTCACACAAACGGGAAAAAGTATAATTTGATTTATCGATTTAATAAGAATACTCGTTGTTCTTCGATAATATCGATGTTCGAATCAAAATAATATAAAAATAATGCACATAGAAGCGAATAATCTGCCGGAACGTAGGCAATTCTCGCGAATTAATAATAAAACCCGTAACATGTATTTTCCATAATATATCGTCGAGAGTCACATGATCGGGTCAGCACGTAAAAGCTCTAGCGTCGTTTGTCGCACACTTTTTCTTCCCTCTTAGCCTCCATCGACTAATTCGTTAAATGATCAATCGATTATCCTCTTCATCGAGCATAAATCCACATCAGCTTCCTGGAACCGTCTTCCACAGTTTGCGACTTATTTTCCCTTTACCAGACAAAGAAATCGTCACACCTAGCTTACTAGCTTATTACTCGCGGACTCGATAAAAATATATCAATCGACACGACGCAAATCGCACGAACCGACGAAGAAACGAAATATTCACGAGAATCTGATCGTACGTAGAATTTACTCGTAGATCGACTGCAGTAATTCGAAAATTATATATCGTCGTTCTATCGTGCAAGTACGAAATAGCGTCGAATTCAGTTGGTCATTCATGCCCAGACGAAAGTGTGGAGTTGCGAGCGTGGCGGCTCTTTGTTCCACGCGGTAATGACGGTTGGGGTAGGTTAAGGCAGTGTTTAAAGATAATTAATAGTTGCACGGCTCGTAAATATCGGTATCAATGAAGCGTGGCCAAGATCTGGCGTGGGATCGGTAAATGGTTTCCGGGCGTATAAAAATTAATGGATCTGTTGTCGACCTTGGTGGAAACTATCTTCGTTCCGTTGTATCGTTCAAGGTTAAGAGCGGGTCGCTCTTAGGAAAACGATATTTCCGAGAATGTTGAACGACGCCTTTGAATTTACGCGCGTCTCCAACGCCGCGTGTTGTTTCCTAAAGCCGGTTAGGTTTTTTAAACGATTACGTAAACCGGATCGCAAGCGTACGAATGCGACCGAATATAATTACTTGGCCGCTGTTATCAACGTAATTTCGAATGGCAATGCGATCCACGTGATTCCATAAAATCGTGGAGTGGGTAGTTTAATAACTGGGACGGCCGTGGAAACGAGCGATCCGAGACGAAGGGAACGAACGAGAGCTGCTTTTACCCCTCCAGGGTGGATCAGCCGATGGAAGGAAAGCAAGGAGGAGCGACGTAATTCGGGCCAGGAGGAAAGGGTCCTCCAAGGGGAATATAGAAGACGTCGGTGTACAAGGGGAAAAGGGAGAATTTAGGTGGGGACAGAGAGGGTAACGGGGGAAAAGAGAGAGGGAAAGAGAAATGCGAGGGTGCGTAAGGGTGGCGGATCCCTGGAATCAATAGTGGCCACGCACCCTTGAAGAATTTTCGCACCAGGAGTCCGGATGTCTCAGGACAGGCTGGGAAAGCTTTCTCCGCTGCTATCCAATACTGCTTTATTCGGTAACGAAAATCCCATCGAAAAAATGGTATTTTTCAATAAAGTTAGTGCAGTGATTTATCCTTTATCTAATCTTACAATGGATGACAAGTATGATTTAAACGTAATTGGACGTTGACCGGAACGTCGACCGATCGATGACGAATAAAATACACGTTACAACCGTATTAAGCGAATAAACGAATTTTCCAATTTGCGCGGTTATAAGCGAATTAATCGTAAATTTGCAAGAAATTGAAGGCATTCGTGCATTTGGTATTCGATAAACGTCTAGTCTCAGATATTTATCAAAGCTTTTCTTTCAAGAGAACCTACAAAATCGAAATAGACCTGGTTACTTAACAGTAAGACGTGGATTCTCCACAAAAAGTGCATTGTGTTTTGTTTTTGAATCGTCAACTCGTACGAATAACAATCGACTCGTGCTTCTCGCTTGATACTTTATCGTAAACCAACCGAAATTGAATTGTTTTACGGTAATTCAATAAAAAAAAAAAAAAAGAACGTGGTCTCGTTCATCTCGTGCGATGCGTTTGATCGCGAGACTGTTTTTCGCGATATCGTAGAACGTTTAGTGGCAGGAAATATGTGTCTTACAGGTCAGTGAGTAAAGCGGAAAGGCTGGAAAAAATGACTCACCTCCAACCACTGCCAACTTGGCCAACTGAAGATTCCGGTAGGGCGTCGCCGCTACCCCTAAAACAAGGAAATGGGAAGCTGTAAGATAGGTAAGGATACAGGAGTTTAAGGATATTGGGATAAGATATTTAGGATTGGGATAATCTTACTCTTCCTTGATGCGTTTTCCACGATGAACAAAAAATATAATAAAAATATATATATATATATACACATCATAGTTAAAAGAGTATTTTCTTTCACGTCAAACCATTATACGAATTTTCGAACGACCAAAGTAACTTCGAAATCGAACGCTCGTTATTCGATTCTTTACGCGCGACTTACGTTTTAAGTCGCGTTCGCTTTCGTAATTGTATCGTGATTTCGCTTTTACTCTCGAGTGGATTTTTTTACCTCTTTGAGTAGCGAAACTTTTGTCAACTCGATCCGTCTTTCCATCGTACGCGTCCTTTGTAGATGAAAAGACGAGAAACTATGACGTAAGAAAGGAGAAGCGTCCGCGACACTCGGCAAGAAGAAAAAGTTTCGTACAGCGGATAATTGGAGGCCTCCGCGACATGCATATTAATCGCAGTCTATCTGTGAGAGGACAAAAAAGAATTAATAATAACCGCGTCGCCAAGATACCGATCTGACCGGTTGGTTGGCCAGGTGCAGCGCGTCTTCCGTGATCCGTGCATATTCTTGCGGGTTTCTTTTTCACGGCATCCTTTTGCATCGGTCACGCCAATTAACAGGCATCGCCGTTAAAATCACCTTTACGCTATCGTACCAGCTACTGTGCAAAGTTTCAATTTGTCAAAAGTGAAACCTCTCGATACAACGTTTCCGAGAGTTTCGCTTTCGTTGTTCCCGGACATGGTCGCAACGCGTACATCGTCCGATCCTCTTTAAA